AAATGTCGTCCGGCCAACTGGCGATAATTCACACTTACCGATGATAGATGCAAAAAAGCTATGTGGCTAGCGAGGGTTTATTAGCAGCTAGTTAGTGGGAGCCTCAACCACCTCAAATCACAGAACGTAATGAAGAGTTTGAGTCTGCATGCGACTGAAATGTTTGCCTGATGAACAAATCTCACGAGAAAAATAAACTACACACACAGAATATATAGCAAATAATCCTGAAACGGCCAAATTTAAAACCTGTGATCAGCGTATTTAAGGCAAACTTAAATGTCTGAATGAATTTCAGGCATTTTAAGGATTTATGAATTTAGGACTTTGTAAGGATGCATGGATACCCTGACTGTGTGCATTCACAGTTAATGCAGGACTCAACAACAAGCTCCCCAAGACTAAGGAAACTATTTTGTGGGCTGACAAGACAGACATGGAGTTTACTGTCCAACATGGTGGTAGTGTAATGCTCTGGGCCTCCTTTGCTGCTTTAGGACCTGGATGACCTGCTAAATGATGGAGTCATCAATTCTGTTCTCTATCTGAAAAAATCCTAAAGGAAAATGTTTAGTCAGCTTGGTCAGGCTTGGGTTTTGCAGCAGAAAACTAGTACGAAACATGCATTCCACCTTTGAATGATTCAAACATACAAAATGTTGATTTTGGAGTAGCCTAGTCAAAGACAAGCCCTAAATCTGATACAGATCTTGTGGAATGACTTTAAACAGGCAGGTTATGCTTGAAAGTCTTTTAGTGTGGATGTTATAAAACAATTCAGCAAAGACGAGTGATGGCCTTTTACAGAATCATGGCTTTAAAAAGTGCTTCTCACATTTACTCATTATCTTTGATGTTAAAATGTATTTATTAATTTGAAACATCCAAGTATGACCAAAAGAAAACAAGAAATCTGACAGGAGGGAAACATTTTTTAACTGCTTATTTCACACAATATTCAAAACTGGGCAAACAGACAGGAACTGTTTACTGTACATAAACATGGTTCTGTTTCAGGTTTTAATCTATACCAGGATAAATAAAAAAATCCGATATAAAATCAAATTATTTTGACTCATTAATTTCTGAAGTCAAAAGAAAACAGTTTTTAATTTAAATTACTTGAGTCACACTGATTGTATGGATGCCACAATATTCTTTGCTCCCCTTTGGCATTCACACAAATACACACATTGCTGTGTTGGTTCTCAAGAGGGATTTCCCCTCTCATTCTCAACTTCTCTGTTTAAAAATATGTCTAGTAGTGAAAGAAACAGCTCGACCGCCAGATGGGAACTGCTCACTCTTTAAGACAACAATGCTATGAAAACGAACAAATCTGCTACAGTGTCTGTCCGTAAAATAAACAGCTCACTGCAGGGCTGCTAGTGGCAGCTTAAAAGTTCAACTAATTTCCTTTACTGAACCTCCTGATAAAGCTAACAAATTTCAGAACATCAGAATAAAAAAAAAGAAAGAAAAGAAAAATCAGGACGTTTTTTTTTTTCCTCAGTGAGTTTCCTGAGAAATAATAAAAAGTGACGAAGGAACATTTTGTGCTGAACGTCTCTAAATCTGTACGTAAATAGGAAATGTAATTTTGATGAAGTAAATAAAAACCCAGACTAGTGGAAGCTAACAAGCTAGTCACATGTATGCTGTATGAATGTGCCTCATTATTCAAACTAACTACATTTGGTGTCTACAAGTACAAGATGCTAAAGTGGGTTTAAGATTGTTGTGACACCACCTCTGCTCCTGATATAAAAAATTTTGTGACTTCTCAGTGGATTGAAGACTAGAAGAAAATGCACCTTCATACATCATCTAAAGTTTTAAAGCAATAACTCAGGACAAAGCACCGCTACAACTAGTGGTACTGTAGGAAATCAGCAATAAAACTGATCTGATCTTTTATCAAACATGGTCAATGTGTTGCATTATGCAGTTACGTAATTTACACTTGCAATATAGGTGATCAAAGTCCTTCAAGGGTTCTGGACCTTGAAGGTTGTATGCATCACAACTCCAGAAAAAAATTAAACAGTTTGCATGTTCTGCATTTATAGTACATTTCACAGTCATAAAATAAAAGCAGAGCAATGAAAGGAATCTATATGACTCAGTTTGTAAAATAAGAAGAGTTTTGGGAAGCCATACATTTTAAAAAGCTGGGCTCAATCTGAAGGCACACATTCAAATCCTGTTAACTCTTTCGCTTGTCCTCTACTTCATAAACTTATTTTAAATCTCCCTCACAAGGTGTGATGTCTTATCGATCTCCACATAAGTTTCAGCAGGAAAACTTCCTCAAATGATCAACACGCGACACATCAGGCTGCATGGCAACCATCAGTCATCTCCTCTGCAAATCACACTGGACTGGACCTAATCTTCTAGCAGGAGACGCAAAAAAAGTCTTAAACAATAAAAACAAAGTAGTTAGGATGACTGCGGGAGTTTTACGAAACACGATCCCTCTAATCTACTGCTGTCAAACACAATTACAACTTTGATTTAACAGCTTGCCTTTGGACTGCCTGAATAAATATGCCTAAACAGAACAATCTCTGTGTTTTTCCCCTTCCTTCCGCTGCTCAAGTCTGACACGAGTTTTTGAAGCCGTTTGATCTAAACAAATGTGACAGAGCGAGTCTTGTTCATTTTCCACCATCTGACTATGGTAAACGGATAAACGCCTCGAGGAACAAATGGAGTAGATAGCTTCACAGCTGGATGTTTTGACTGTGACATTCTGAAAGAGCACAACGTGTTGAGAAAGACCACATGGTTGGGTACGACTGGGAAAAAACCCCCCCAAAACATTACAATAAAACAAGAGGAAGATTTATTTTTACGCTGCTTCAAAAGGAAGCAACCTTTATGTAAATAAAGCCGGTGATTTTAGGATGCATAAGGCATTCATACTCCTTGCATGTAATGAATACTGACTGAAAAGGTCCAAACAATACAGAAAAATAAAAATGAAAATAAATAAATCATACATACAAAATACTTAGCATTGCTTTCTCATGTACAGAACTTGACACTGAACAGATGGTTCTCTAAATTCTGCAAAAAAAAGAAAAAAAAAAAAAAACTTTGGAAATTTTTTTTGTGCAATTTAAATGGAGCCATCTGATTTTTAATCAACCGAAGCAGGTACATGCTTTTATCATTTTGCAATCCCCTTAAATAAACTTAAGCTGTCGTTCCAGATTACATAACATCATCTGATGTGGAAGATCAAGCAGAAACCATGTGAAGAACAAACACGACCCAAATTTCTCCTCACAATTGAGGAAAAAAAAAAAAAAAAGAACACACACAAAAAAAACAGGAGTTCAAACCTAAGCGAGCACAGCCAAGTTTATCCTCAAGGGAGCAGCTGGTAACGGACCTGACGGGAGGGTTAACTGCGCTGTGATCAAAATCACTTTACATCTTCTAGAGGGAGGGGGAGGAGGGCTGTTGATCAGAGAACGTAAAAAAAAAACAAAACAAAAAAAAACATGCAAAATACAGAAGAACATCAGGTCATCCAAGAGATGGGAGGAAAAAAAAGACACTGGAGGAAACAACAGATTTTGCATGACGCACTGGATGAGAGCTTAGAGAATCAGAACTACTATTTTTTCCCCCCCTCTGTCCAAGTGCAATGAATCATCTTAACCATCACGTTTAAAAACGCTCCTTTAATTTTACTCCCACAGGCTGATTGAAGTAGCTTTAAAGGCCATAGCTGACTTCCTTGAACGCCTCGATTACTGTTTTGTTTTCATTTTGAAAAGGCTTTATATATTCTTTACATAAATAGACAAATTCAAAGTGCTAGACGAAATATAGATTTCAATAACAGGATGTCACAAAATGTGTTGAAAAAGTGCACTGATAACGTAGTGTGTGTATTAACACTACACACCACAGGAAGTTTGATGGATTCTACAGTAAAGTCTGCTCAGTGGCTTTATATAAAAAGCTGTCACATCCTCCTTATTGGAGGATGAACAATGACAAACCTGTGACCTAAAGCTGTTCCAGTTGTTATGGAAAACACTTGCAAGAGGTGATGAGTGGCAGGTGTGGTGGCTGTTTATGTCACCTCTGTGACCTTACCTAAATAATCCTGATGGATGCAGCGGTGCCACCATGACTCCAGAATGTGTCATTGGACACATTGGGGACATCTTCCCTCTCAAGGAGGCTTGTGTGACGCCGCCAGCTTATAATGTGGGACACCGAGTTCACAACCAAAGTTGATACAATGACAGGAAAATACAGAATTAGGGAGTTTTCGGGCTGTTCCTAGCTCACTGCAGTGAGAGGACCCACAGTAGCGGCGCCGTGAGTGTCGGTGGGGAGGAGGCATCACCAGGGGTAACGTTCCGCCTACATCACAGAGCCTCCCAAATCAAAGTCGAGAAACAACCTCGGAGTCTAAAAGTTGCGGTGAAACCTCAGCACCTCCAGCAGAGAGCTGCTGCACCCGCTGCTTTGCGGACTTTGCCGGGTCCTTTCCGGCGGGCCCAGGCGAGACGTGAGAGTGGGGCGCAGAGAAACACATTCTCTCCCCCCCCTCTCAAATGTTCCCCCTCTCGCCACCGACGTAACAACATGTCGGCAGAGACGGCCATGTTTTGCTGGTTATGTCGACACGGGGGAGGAGGAAAAGTAGACACGATGTTTCTCCTCTCTGCCTGCCGACGCCACAGTCGCCGCATATCAGACTGAAACTCTCACACGGGGCTTGAAAATGTCCACCTAACTTCAGGAGGGGGCACGTTGTGTCCCCCCGTACGCAGGTGTAAACGGCAGAGCCACGCAAAGTTCATGCGGCGAGACAACTTAAAATGTTTACACGGCGGCGTGTGGACGTCACGAAGCACCGAGAGGGACACAAACAAACAACAACACGCAGCTTCAACTTGGGGGGACTTTTTGATAAACAGACCCGCGGCGAGCCGACAGAAAACCAGAGGAAGAGTTTAGCCGTTTCTTACCTGCCCACCCCCTTCTTGACGCGACGTTCAGGTAGCGCGGTACAATCCCAACGCGACAGCTGGAGCAGCAAGCACGCCGAATGGGTTTGAAAGAGTCTCGCGGCGGCCCAATAGCCGACGAGACAACAGGCGACAGGGAAGGGAAAAAATTGGCGATCACAAGGAGGATCTACGCCAAAAGCCACATGATCGCCGACGTCAGAGTACGTATTTGCATGTCGTACCGGAGCGCCGGTGTCCGTCCACAGCGGCTCCATAGCGATACGGCCGTGAAAAGTTTGGCCGCCGGAGGAGAAAAGTGGGGCAACTCTGCATCCCGATATCAGGAGGGGACCTGAAGTGTCCACCAGGCATGTCCGCGGCGCTGAAAATGAATGAACTGCGTGTTGTTGCTGTCAAGTTGCCCCTTGATGATGTCCTCTGCTCGGAGCTCATTGAATATTACATCCAGCGATGGGGCGTTTGCTACCACCCAAAGTCCAACCCTCCATCCACGGCCACGCCCACCAGCCCCATCCCTCAGAAGCAGAGCTGCTGCAGTGCTTTCTCAGCTGGAGGCGGTCTCTTCCAGCATGCAGCAGGGGAAACCCGCATTCAGCTCTTACTCTCCTTCATTCAAAGTTAAAAAACACCCTCCCTGCTGAATCTGTAGAGGTTAGTGTGAGGTCAGGGGAAGTGACTTGAGGTCACAAGCAGACACGCAACACTGACCTCCTCTGGATTCACACGAAAACTGCTGACCTGGGCTCAGGCATAGTCTATTTGATGATACATTCAAGCAAAACCTGTGTAAGACAAACACAGAACAAAAACAGCGAGGTGTAATATTACAGTAAAGTTTGAAACCTGTTATTTTCGTTGCAGAGTAATGGCCAGAGTGTTACCTTTTCTCCAAACAGGTTTGCAGTAATAGCGTGTGTCTGAAAGTATAGTTTTTAAGAAATCTAAAAAATGTTTTCCCCTACAGGTTTTCAAATTAAAAATGTTGAAATGTCAAATAAGATATTCTTTATCAAGGGTGGAAGTTCACTCAAAATCATTATAGGTAAAAACTTAGGGCTAATAAAATAGTAATGTGCAGTTATGAAACAGAGGGATGGATTGGAAATGGAGTAAAATGACCTCAAGCTAGCCCAGTTGGGTGAGGGTTATCTTCCCCTTCACCACTCTGTATTGTATCTATTTATTGAGTATATTTGTATCAGAGTGGCTCTCAAAAGGAAAATTCTGGAAAACCTAAATTGAAAAGCCACATTTTTCTGTCAGGTGAATCAGATTTAATATTACTGTAGCAGCTTGTTCACACTTGCATGAAGTGAATCATAGCAAGAAGTTGGTATATGTACCCAGTTTATTGTGCCCTTGTTGTTTTATTTAATTCTAACAGATTTGTTTGTTTTCAAGTTGAATGGCACGTGGAAAAGGCATTTTTTTCCCTGGTCTAATTTTGTCTATGTAGACTAGACTTTATTATCACCAAAGGGGAAATTCTTTTCCACAAACTAGCCCCCGCACTCCCATCACCACATAGACAATAACAACCAATGGCTAGGTAGACAATAACATGCAGCATGAGACAAAACATAACAAACAAGATTCAACATAAAATTATATCCTTAGCGTGTGATATTGTTTAGGTTGGCTTTCATCAAAATGAAGTCCTCCATATTTGCCCCGAGGGCAGTAAGGTGAAGTGTTACTGTACCGGATGAGTTGAGTCCCATTGATAATACAGTGTCGCTTAGTTCAGTAAGTTCAGCATTTTTGTGATTTTTGTCTCCAAACTTCATCATAATTTATTGAGAAAAATAACCCTAGGGTAAAATACTTGCATACATTTTTCCCTGGATAGCTAATGAGTATGACAAAACAAGTGAATGGTTGAACTGACCCACATCAGACAGAAGCATGTTTATGCTCAAGGAAAGCAAATGTATTATTTTTAAATAACCATTGTTCTGAAAAGCAATAACCATATTCAGTTTAAAAATTCCTTAATACTGATGCTTCAAATGAAGATCAGGAAAGCCTGAGATAAATATTTGCAAATGTAACAAAAGATGTAGGATGGCTTTTGTTTATTTTGTGTCAACAATCCAAATGAGGTTAATTATGGTTGCATGCATTGATGACAGAAAAATCTTATTTCGAGGTGGAGTACCTCTGACTCAAAAAGTAATTGTGCCACATCCTTTTTGTGAATTGAACATAAATAACGCCTAGTTTCAATTATTAGTTTCAGAAAACGTTCTCTGTCAGATTTCCAATGGAAACTAAATGTTAAGAGGACAGGGTTTTTTTTATTTTATTTATTTACCATTTACACGTGGTGAGATAAAACGTTTGCTCTGATCTGTGAGTTAAATAAAAGGTCACTAGATGGTGCCAAGTGGCTGCACTGACACACACTGACTGCTGAACTCCACCTATGTTTTCTCCATGGATTTGGACCAACAAACATAAGTATGAATGACAAGTCTAAGGTAACTTAGACTTTTAAATTAACCAATGCAGATATCTTGTTTGCTACGTTGACCACAACCTGACTTCTAAATACAGCTGATTCCATGTCACGTAGACAATAAAACCATGACAGGGACACCATCAAATGTTGTTTTAATTACAAAATGTCTTGCTGCCGTAGTTTGCTCCGAGCTGAATTGACAGTGTCAGCATGTGGTCAGATAGAAGCCTGCAGGCAGAATATTTTCCTCTCCACTTTTCTCCTGTTAAGTGACCTATTAAAGTTTGTTTGCTATTTCAGATGTCACTTGGCTGCTGACATTTTTAAAGGCTTTGGATTTCCTGGGAACATTCGACTGGACTCTGTGGGTGAATGTAAGTATTTGTGCGCCTTTTTGTTTAATTTACGCAGGAAACATGCCACCAGCTGAATTTCATTAAGTTTTTGTTCTAAAACTATAAATAATGAGGCACGTGACTTCCTCTTGTGTTTATTCAAACACACAGTTTTCAGTTCTCAGTATAAAAACTATCTTTACACAAAGCAGCAACAGCTAAGGCCAGATTTATTCATACCATTGGCAGATGTAGATAAACAGTAACATTTTATTTTAATCATCGAGTTTTAAAGTCTGGGAGTCCCAGTAACTTTATGACTGATAATCTATACAGGGGCCTATATGTTTATCAACCTTAAAACATTTATGTCATTACCAGTGATGCATTTTTATAATAGTATTAGAAACATGTGGAAATGTTGTCAATTATAAACAGTATTTATTGCTGTAATGCCAGTGATTTTTTTTATATATGCCTACATAACCTATGAGAAACAAACTTTTTTGACTGAATGGACATCATTTAAATCTAACTCTGCTGAGTGTATGAATAGTTTTGGATTCACTCGCTATAGTGTTGCCCTGTGATAGATGTGATAGCCATGCTGTACTTGAAAACCGGAATAATGAGTATCTGAGGATTTTAATTTTGGTTGCTTGGAAACAACAACTCAAGAGAGTTCACAAAATCACCCGCACTGGTTCTGATGAATGGCTTGGAGTCACTTAGGTCCTTTGCTAATTTGTTTCCCCATTTAGTATAAATGCATTGCTCTTTTGTTCCTTTTTAATTCCTTTGAAATCTGAAAACACACCATTTCAAAAACAATAACCATTGTGAATCAGTTTATTGCTCTGAAAAAAAGACTCATCAAAGTGGTCAGATCTCTGTTTGACAGTATACTAGTTTTTTTTTTTTTTAAAGATTTTAATTAAACCCATTTCTATTGACTGACAACTACAGCCCTGAAAAAACTTTGCTGTTATTCAAAGAAGAGTTCATATTGGGTAGGCAGAGAATAAATCAGAAGAGCAGCTTTTTTAACTCTGAAGAAGTCGTGTGTCAAACCTTGCCTTGCAAAAAAAAAAAAAAAAAAAAGTTACTGTTAAACAAAAAGCTGTCTCGTTTGTAATTTCCCACAAGCTAAATAAGAGACAGCAAAAATGTGCAAGAGCTACTCAGGTCAGATGAAACCACAATTGAACTTATTTGCATACCTGCAAAATGATATGTGTGCCAGAAAGCTGACATTACACAAGGCCCCCTAAACACACCATCCTGTAGTAAAACATGGCAGTCACACCATGCTGTGATGTTAAGCATACAGACAGAGCTACTATATGTTCATGTAGATTAAAGCATGTTCATTTGTTTGAATTGCCCAAAGTTCAGATCAAAATCAAATTAAGAATTTCAATTTTGATTGAAAAATTGCTTTTCCCAGACACTTTCCACTCAGAACGTGTGTGCTTGAACTATTTTGTGAAGAAAAGCATGAAATCCATGTTCCATTATTATTACAGCATCACAATTATCTGCTTTATGTGCAGAAACATGTTAAAAAGTCAATGGATGTGGTTGTTTTTGCAGTGCAGTGTGGTTGGTAATATAGATTAATATTCCTATTAGTAAATCTTTTTACCAATTCAGACTCTTCCTCCCGGATGTGCTCTGTTGAACCAGCTCTTGTAGCTCTGATGAAAGCAATTGTGCATTATGAAATGTGTATGATTGTGTCTTCTTCTTCGTGTGAGTGGAGAGCGGAAGAAGAGCGAAAGAGAGAGCGAGTGTTAAATTACTATCTTTGTGTTTTTCTTACTGTTTTTTCACTGGGTGTTTATGTTAGTTGTTTAATTGTTACTTTGGTTTAATTTTGTCACGTTTTAAGGGGCTTTTGTTTGGGTTCGGGTAAGGTCGTCAGGCGTGCCTGGCTGGCCGCCGTCTGACAACGCCATGGTGTCTGGTAGTGGGACTTTCTCCACGCTGACACGGAAGAACGGTGCCGGTTCTCCGTGTAGCGTGGAAGAAGTTTGTTTAGCGGTCGGGGAGGTGATTGGACATGGGTCCATCAAGTCGGCAGCTCGCATGAGTGGAGCTGTCGTCTTGTTCGTGGAGAAAGTGGAGCAGGCTCAACAGCTGGTGGAGGTGGGCGTTTCGGTAAACGGCTTGTTTTTACAGGTGCTGACTTTACCTTCAGTGAGAGCTGGTTCTCTGACACCACCGAGGTATCTGTGACACAATCGGGCACTAAAGAACCTAGAGACTCTGCAGAATCTTTTAAAAGTTTCTTAGAACAAACTAAAGGATTCAGAGGAGTTAAAGTCGAAAGTTATTTTCCTAATTTGAGATTATTTTACTTCTCAGCAAGATATTATATTAGAAACAAAGGTGTATCAGGTTTTACAGATCCAGAAGTTTTTAGATTAAAGAAAATAATGTCCAAAGTTAGAAAACAACTCTGAGTAAAATGATGCACAGTGACATTTTAATATTTTTTATACTCTTTTGGTATTTTGTTTTTAGTTTCTTACCCAATATGGATTCTTTTAAAATAGCATCATTGAATCTTAACAGGACGAGGGAGGCTCCGGTTCATTGAATTTAAAAACTAGCTTGATTTCATTAGATCAAGAAAAGGCATTTGTCCGCGTTGAACACAGCTTCCTCTTTAAAACCATGAGGGGGCTTGGGTTCAGCGAGGGTCTTATTGCCAAGATCCAGGTTCTGTACAGTGACACAGAGAGCGTGCTGAAGATCAACGGTAGCATGTGTGCTCCTTTTAGGGTGTGTAGAGGCGTTCGACAGGGCTGTCGCTCTCTGGGATGCTCTACTCGCTCTCCCTGGAACCGCTCCTCCAGAAAATACGCTCGAGTGTCTGGTTTTACCTGGTTTTATTAACAATATGGTTTTATCTGCCTACACTGATAACGCTGTTGTTTTTATAAAAGACCAAAAAGATGTCAATATTTTAATCAAGATCAAGACCCATCAGTGTGTGGAGCGACAAACTCGGAGGACAAAAACCAAAGTGGAGAACTTTGTACAAGCCTCCAATAAAGAAAAGAACTGGTGACCTTCAGTGGAGGATGCAGGCTGGACCTCAACTCGATGCCATGGCTCTGTGGAAGTGTAACGTCAAAGCCAGGTTGAGATTGGAGTTTTGTTTCCACAGAGCCACCCGGGATTTAAATAGTTTTGTACAATTGTGGGGTTTTAATAATGTATTGTGTACCATTTCAAATCAGGGGGAACTAAATTTTAACAAGCTACTAATGTAAATATTTCTTGTTTTTATTTAGTTTTCATAATCAGGTAATCAACTGTTACC